GTCTCTCTGTGGGGAGCAGCGTCTGGCTATTATCTCCAGGGCTATCATGTGGCCATCATCGGAGGAGCGGGCAGCGGTGCGCCTGCAAGCAGCAGGGCGAGGTTTCCTTGTTCGGCAGATGGTGCGGAAGACCGCGCATGCTGCTCAGCCCGTCGCTGCAGCAAATCGCAGCTTGCACGTTCAACCACTCAGGCTCGCCTATACGTCCTGCGGCTCCAGCTGAAGTAGAGATATGGGTATGCGGTCTCCCGGTGCGGCGTATGACCAGCACAACCCAACATCAAGCACCGATGGCGATGGCCGTCTCATTTGTTCTGGCACTCACCTTGGTGCTGGGCAGGTCCAGCGTACTAGTGGGCTGGTACATCCTCCACTCTTCATTCCACATGAAGCTAGCGGTTGGGCTCCTTCCATGGGATCCAGGTGGACATAGTTGCAGTTCAAATTTATTTTACATTTTAAATAACAAAGGTAAGCCGAGATGTGAAAGGCTTAACCCTAGGTCACGTCAAGTAGGTCTATTTGTTATTATCTCCAGGCTAGCAATCAGGGGCTACAAATTAGGAGAATTATTATTATCTCCATGTGGTTAGTGGCCTATTTATATCGTGTAATCAGCCTTGGATGAATCAAGCAATAACAAACCAATTTCCTAATCTCTCTCCTCTCTCAATCTCACACCCTTCACCGGCCATCCTCCTGGCAATGGTTATCCCCCAACCCCCAATGATCTAAGGATCATAGCAACTATAATATATTTAGACCTGTGGAGAAATTAGTGAAAACAAGCAAAAAGTATGTAGATTGAGTGCCAATGTGAGGACATGCTCACATAGGGGATCGCTTGGGAGTCCGCATCACCATTTTCCTCCCTGATGCTCCTCGTCAAGAAGCATGATCACAATTAGCGTTTATGCGTGGACTACTGCACCATTAACGACAAAACTGTGAAGGATAAATTTCCTATCCCCATCGTGGATGAGCTACTTGATGAACTGAAGAGGGTGCAGTTCTTCACCAAAATTGAACTTCATAGCAGCTACCACCTGGTGTGCATGCACCCTGATGACATCGACAAGACGACGTTCCGCACGCATTGCCACTTCGAATTTCTCGTGATTCCATTTGGTCTCACCAACGCACCGACAACCTTCCAAGCTTTGATGAACGATCTCCTAAAGCCCTTCATCTGTTGTTTTGTACTTGTTTTTTTTATGATATCCTCGTATATAGCTCCTCGTGGGCTGAGCACTCACACATGTCAAGATTGTGGTGCAACAGATGCGTGGCCATCATCTCTTTGCCAAGTGCTTCTTTGGCGAGCCCTCGGTGACGTACCTTGGCGACATCATCTCGGCCGAGGGCATCACCATGGATCCGGAGAAGGTGGCTGCGGTGGAGGCCTGGCCACAGCCGCACACAACACGTGCCCTGCCTAGTTTCCTGGGTCTTATCGGGTATTACCAGAAGTTCATTGACGGCTAGGTGGTGTGGCCGGCCCATTGACGATATTCCATGGTCAGCGAAGGACGACACGACCTTCATGGCCCTCAAGCAGGAGCTGATGTTGGTGCCCTTCCTGTAGCTGCCCGACTTCGACAGATGCTTCGTCGTCGACTATGACGTGTCTGGCGTGGTGCTGCACTAGGGTGATGGGGTTGTTGCCTCCTTCAGCGGTGTGGTGGCCCCTCATCATTCCAAGCTGCCAGCCTATGAGCGTGAGCTCATCAGCCTCGTGAATGCCATTCGCCATTGGCGGCCTTACCTGGGGCCGTTAGTTCATGGTCTGGAGGGGACCATTGGAGCCTCAAGTTCATCCTTGACCAGTGCCTCATGACAATTCCGCAACACAAGTGGGTCATCGGGCTGTTCGGCTACGACCTCTCGGTTGAGTATTGGCTAGGCAAGTTGAACACGGCGCCTGATGCTCTCTCGCCGGGATGAGGACACCGTGGCTGTGTGTGCGCTTTCGGGGCCGCACTTCAGCATCTTCGACACCCTGTGGGCCAAACTTTAGTCGGGTCCGCAGGCCTAAGACCTCTAGACGTAGTTGGCCATGGGCATGGCGCCGACCAGCTGTCCCTGGTCGATGGTCTGTTGCTCTTCCAGGGCTGTCTTTGTCCCTGACTCTGCCCTATGGCCGCAGCTACTGCGCGATGCCCATGCCATGAGGTCGGCCATGAGCGGACCCAGAAGACACTTCATCACATGTGTGCCTCCTTCCACAATGCCCATGCCCATTGGCTAGCGCACAACATCATCCGTGGCTGTGCGGTGTGCCAACGCATCAAGACGGAGCATCTCCATCCGGTAGGTCTTTTGCTGGAGCGACATCGCTATGGACTTTGTCGAGGGGTTTCCTTGGGTGGGCGGCAAGTCAGTCATTCTCACAGTCATGGATTGCTTCTCCATGATCTGCTTCTCCATGCTGGCGCAGTTGATCGCCTTGAGCCACCCCTACTCCGCCTGCTCTGTTGTCCGTTCCTTCTTCGACAACACATGCGGCTCCACAACATCCCTTGCTCGATTGTGAGTGACCATGACCCAGTCTTCACCAACAACTTCTAGGAGCAGCTGTTCACGCTAGTGGGGGTCCAGCTCTTGCTACTCAGCCTTCCATCCTCCGACGGACAGACAGTCGGAGGTGACCAACCGCATGTTTGTCATGTACCTGCAGTGCTTGGTTGTTGATCGGCCGCGTTCCTGTCCACGATGAGTTCCTTGCTGAGATACGGGCCAGGTTGCTGCCGGCCCAGGAGCAGGACAAGAAGCGCCGCATGGTGGAGTTTGCTGCGGGAGATTTTGCCTCCAGCCCTCCACCACAGAACGGCGGCTAGGATCACTCCGGCTTCCTTGTCCAAACTGAGCCCTTGCTTCTTTGGGCCCTGTCCAAGATTGTGCGTGCTCTTCTCAACCGTGGCCTATTGGCAACACTTGGTCTAGTCGGAGGGTCGTACTGCAGCAGAGGCCACTCGAGGACAAGCTGTTTGTCGGGAAGGAGGGAAGTGTTGCGGCCTCGTTCGTGGGCCGGCAATATCGCTGACGCTCTAGGCGGCAGCCCAGCCCTCATACCGGGAGGGAGCCACACCGGCGGCATGCTGATCAACATGTTGACAACAGGAGGGAATTAAGGAATAATTGTTAGGCAAGTTTGTTAATGTTAGAATTAGCCGTACAGCCCCGTTGGGCCTTGTAGCTGTAGTTGGGCTGGGCCCTCTTTATTGTCGCCCAAGCTACCCAGCGCTGCATATATGTAGATATGATTTGTACCACATTGTCTACTAATGTAGGGTGTTAGTCCTATGCACTGTATATAATCAGCCCATCGGGCTCAATGCAATATATATCTGCAATTTGCGTGGCATACCCTCTCTAATATGGTATCTATCACCTTCTCGGTCCTTTGACCTATATTGCTTCCGCTTCTCCATCATGCCTTCCTCCGACACCAAGCTTACAGCCACCTCCGCCTCAAGGCAGGAAGCTGCAGCCAAGCGTGATGAAGACGCTGCCCGTGCTGCTGCTGCTGCAGACGCTCAGAAGGAGGAAGCCGCAGCCCGCGCCGCCGAAGATGACGCTGCGATAGCCACCGCCGCCGAAGATGACGCTGCGATCGCCGCCGCTGCCTCTGCCCTAGTGTGAGGCTGAATGCGCTCTCCAGGTCGAACGCGATCTTGCGGCACGTCTCGAACAAGAGGCCGCCGCCGCCTGTGCACGCCGTGCACCTTCGCCGTCTGAACTAGAGGATCACCATGAGGACCAGTACCAGGACGCCGAATGCGAGCTTGCAACGATCGCCCATCTCCATGCTTAGGTGGCTGCAGTCCAGAACATCAAGGCACTCGTCCCCATCGCCCTTGATCTCCTGCCCCCCACTACAACAAGTGGCGTGGCTACATCGTCATGTTCGGTTGCTATGCGCTCTCGGATCATTTGCTCTCCGATGCCGTCGCCCTCCACGTCCCTGCTTGGTGTCGCATGGATTGTGTTGCCCTGTCTTGGCTCTTCAACAGCATCACGCCAGACCTCATGGAGAAAGTCCAAGAGCGTGGCAGCACCACTGCACGCTTTGCCTGGCTAGGCATCGAGGAGCAGTTCCTCGGGATAAGGGAGACCTGCGCCCTCCACCTCGACGCGAAGTTCCGCAACTTCGTCCAAGGAGACCTCTCCGTCGGGGAGTTCTCGCCGCATGAAGGGCATGGCTGATGCCCTCGGTGATCTCGGTGAGACCATCCATGACCGCACCCTTGTCAAGCTAATTTGGGATTGTAATCATTGAAGATAATAAACCTTCCAGTGTGGGGCATGGGTTTCCTCTTTGACTGTGGCATCGGATCCTTTTGCCGCCATCTACATCGACCGCGACCCTCCACCAGTTCCTCGATATCCCCTGCTGCCCTGCATTCTTTGCGTCAATCCCATCTCCTACGCTCACCTCTATGCTCTCCTCACCGCTCACGCCGTATCATAGAATGTGAGCGACTTCCTTCTTACTCGGCCGATACTATCTCTTATATCGTTGTGACAATATTTTCTATGGTAAGGGTCCTATGCAGTTGGCCACCTTGTCATTGCCAGTCGATGGCTTCGCATCCCTTCTTTGGAGACGACTTAATTTTATAGGGCAAAAGTAACCACATGTCAACCGAATTTATGTTTGGGCCTTTAACTTCAGCGCTGCTCACTCAAGAGGTTGGAATTGTCTACAACAAAATTTTCTTACCTTCCATTAAGATGAATTGATACTTCCATATAGGGATGATTTAATTGCATGCAGCTAATGGCTTGTTTACTGAAACCATCTTTTTTGTTGTCTTATAATATCTAAATTGTTTTCCTCTTTCTGAAATGTGCATGTTCATGTTTTGCAATTCACAAGCGTTATTAACTTATTATTCAAGCCCCATTCTGTTATTCGGGCCATCCTCTATGTAAAAAATCTGTGCCATTTTTTGGCTCAAGACTCATGTCACTTATATTCTCTACATGACTGTGTTCAGGTATGACTTCGCTTCAAACAGGTGGCTGAAAGAGGCAACCACGAGAAGAAAGATCCCAAACACTGAATCTTGCGGTTTCATACCAATGAACGGGGAACTGTACGTGCTCAGATCTGCAAAAGTTCGTGTTGAAGCCTCTGGTCCGTGGAGGCAGCTGAAGAAGAAGCTAGCTATGGAGTTTCAGGTGTACAACCCTGTGACGAAGAAATGGAGAGTGCTCACCACGCATCCACCTGTTGATGCACCCATTGATTTTAGGACTGCAGCTCTGTGTACAGTTGAGTTGTAGATCGATTGGTGGTCACCATTAACTGTAAAGATTCAGGTGGCAAGCGCAAAAATTGATTGCAAATATAGCTGAAAATGCCTAATGCTTGAAGTGCCCCCAGCAGATAGTTGAAGGTTTGTGTGCCAGAGTGTATATACACAGTAGAGGTAACATATGTTCTACATCGCAAGAACTGGTGTCTTTGGTGCTGAATGTGATTGCTGCTAACAAGGAAGATAAAAATTGCACCAGCATGTTCTTATTATTCTGTCAGAATCACTGTTTACCTACACGGCTGTTTCGCCTGTTTAACGCCCTGTAAATAGTGTATAGTGGCTTGCCGTGTCCTTTTAATCAGCTGTTTATCCTGTTTAATCACCATTTAGTTTGTTTAAATGGCCTTGAATAAATAGCTAAAAGATAGGTGATCGTTTAGTCTGTTTAAACGTTTAGATTGACACTGGTCAGAATATATTTTTTCTCCTGAGATTGATTGACACTGGTCAGAATATAGTTTTTCTTCTGAGATTTTTAAAAGATTGCTAGTTGTGTCCATCCGCTGCTACGGGCAAGACACGTAGAATCTCTGATATACAACAAAATAGGCAAAACATATGTGAAATTTAATGACATGCAACAAATATTAGAATTGGATAAATATTAAGCAATCTAACAATTTAGTTAGTGATTTTGAGATGCTATTGGGCCTTGGTCGTAAACTCGTAATTGTCCTAACAGATTTAGTAGTTAGAATAGATGCACAGCAGAGGGCAGAACCCTAATATTTCAATATAAAATCCCATTCATATCATTGCTCATATTGTTCCTTCAATTCAAAAGTATATATTCAATACGAGCTCAGCGCTCTTCGGTGCATCCATTTAGCAGTAGGTTGATCTAAAGCATATTTGAACTGTAGCATCCTAATTTTTTATACGGCGCTTGGTTGGTGGAATTATTGTGGTCCATCACCATCTTACTCTCTAATTTTTTGTTTGGTTTATGAAATAGAATGAGTTGATCCATAATCACCCCATTTCTTACAAGCTAATAATTAAAAATAACTAAGGAATAGATTTACGATGCATCACTCCATCTAGAATAAAGTTAGATTCTTTAACCAAACACGCCCTTACAAAACGAATCTTGCACCAAAGTCTCTTGCGTCTCAGTAAGCCATGTTGCCTCCTTTTCTCGGACGTTGGATTTTGATCAAGCCGTTCAAAACCGGGCGTTTCTAGATCCTTCTCTAGCGCTGTATCTAGCTCTTATTGGCGTAGCTGACCCTTTTTCCTCGTAGATGAGCCGCTTGAGGTCGCCGAGGACAGCCGCATTATCTAGCCTGGGACCCTCCCTGCTCATCCTACCCACGAGCGCCACGCACCTGCCCAACATCGATGGCGTTCCACGGGCATCCACGGCTGCCTCTCGGCTCCCAACCCCCACCACCTGGCTCAGCTGTTCGAACCTACCACCGGGATGACACATAAGGCCATCTGGAAGGCCGAGTGGGTGGCGAAGCCCATTGTTGACGACCAAAAGTAGCCAAAGTGTATAATGAGCTCCGCCGTCATGTTTCTATCATCAAGATAGTCATAAAACATATTTAGATGGTCCCATTTGGAGCCCGGACAAAAAAACAACGATTCGAGGGTGCTAACCCAGCCGGAACTGGCTTGGCGGTTTCCAAACCAGCCAGGCTGGTTTAGGAAACTTTCTCAAATGCAAGATTTGATTACATCATTGCATTACTCTTGTTGAGCTAATCGAAAAACATATATGGTTCGTCCCGTTTAGAGTCTGAATAAATTAATCATGAATTTCGAAAGATTTTTTGCCATGCAAGCAACAGAACCAACCAGGCCGGTTTGCCTGGCGTGTGGCTGCCTGGCCCCGTGAAAACCGGCCGGGCCGGTTTGGAAACCGACTAGGCCGGTTCGCATGTTCCAGTCCGACTCAAACTCCTTTATATCTGGATTTGGATGATTTTTTATAGGAAACTTGAAGATTGCGATTTGGGTTCGTTTTCTATTGGGATAAGACCACCCCCACTATATATATGAGAGGATCATGACCGATTGAAGGATCCAACACTCAATCGTCGAAAACACATCTACGAACCCCTTTTACCCTCTTTTCTCTCTACCTTGCTGTTCATCACGTCTCCCGGCGAGATTTGACGACATTGTAGGCAGTCTCGTTGGTCCTAGGATACCCTCCACGTGCTCCTCCCCAACGGGTCTTCCTGAGAGGTGTTCGGGAGTTCTCTACGTGAAGAATAGGCTCAAAATCGGCTTAACCGGTCTCTAGATCGGTTTCGTTGGTCCGCTGTGTTCTCGCTGCGTTGTTGGTTGAATTGCAACCTTTGGACGTGCTAGTCCCTGCTCGTGTGTGATTCGGATCTCATGCGGAGACAACACACTTTTTCGACGATTCCGCTGGAGGAGAAGAAAGAACAAGATTCAATCTACTACCGAGACGGGGAGCAAAGGTGATGATGGTGACAAGACCATGGTTATCAATTCCATTCTGGTACCAGCAGGAATGGTCGAAACATCTCGTGCCGGCCACCAAAGCGGCACAGAAGACATAGCATCCAATACCGGCCTGGAGTCCGGGCAATTCCGGCCCCCATTCCAGGCAATCCTGGCCGTTCCGGGTGGAACTATGTGTTTCGTTAATCCCGGTAGCGGTCATGTGCGGTGAAAATTGTTGCACCTCTAAAGTGAGAAATCAAAGAGAAAACAATCGGATTTCCGGTAGAAAGCATGAAATCGACAAACAATTCCTCTTCCAAATACATCTCAGAAAAAAAAAACCATAGGAGACAAGGCCACAAGGGCCGACTGGCCAGCAGCATCTCCCTGCTTTCCCGACAGCAGCAAATCACGAGGACTCGCGGTGGGGAGGAGGCGCGTCGTGAGCACAATGGCGGGGGCGTTGAGCGCAGCGGCGGTGGATGACCACGAGTTTTCACGGAGCGGAGGAGGAGCGTCGAGCACAGTGGTGAGACGTCGAATGCGGCGGTGGCAGCAGACGACCACGAGCTCTCTCTTGGGGAGGCGGGGGCGTTGGGCGTCAACCATACCGGCGAGAGCATTGAGCGTCGCGGCGGCGGTGGCGGCGTCAGTCGTCCGCTATGCCATGCCGAGCAGCCGAGAGGGCCGAGGGACTCAGGGTGTGTTTGGATTGAACCCTGACAGAAATATGCCTCGCTTGTAGCTTGCCTGGAAGCTGACTGTGCGTTGTTTGGTTGCAGCACTGGTGCGTTGCCTGCCCCAAGCATCCGGCTGGACTCCAGGCATAGGAAAACGACCGCCTGGCTGCTGCTGCATGTTTGCCTGGACTAATGCCATTCCAATCACCGGTTTAATTGCATTTAATTGCAGCAAGAAAAAGTGCATTAGCTACTTAATTAAGGCAAATGTGCATTAGCTTTTTAATTAAGGCATGTGCCATTATTAATTTTATTTAATATGAGTAAATATTTTATTTATTTTTTATTAATTTACTAATCTAAAATAAATATATTTATCAAATATAGTTAAATATTTTTTATTAGAGATGATTATCTATTTTATTTAACTTAGAAAACCCATTGATATTATGTGTCGCGGTACATAACCGGGGTACCCCAAGACGTGGATAGGAGAGTCGCTTAGGACGGCTCAGATGACCGCGACTCGCATCGACCTCTCTCCCCGGAGCCGTACGAGGCACGCCTCGACCTCTCCTACCTCTCGACCACACACCGTGCGGTGCCCTTGACCGCCTCCAGCCCTTAGCCACTAGGGAAGGACGGAAGGTGTGGTGGACGCATTAAATGCACCTGCCCAGATAGGACATGCACGCGCATGCATTCAACCGGGTACAAGAAGGATGGTCGCCCCTCTAACCGTCCGCTCCTGGGGCATAGCGTCATCTTAGGCAACACTCCACTGCTGGACAAGACAACATCTCGACTCGGCTACGTCACCCCGTGTGGCCTGGCACCGTCCAAATCTCGTCCAGCTTGATGAACGGGCGTACGATCACAACCACTACGGCATGTGAATCACGACCGGGAGCTAGTTCTCCCATTCTGACCGGCTCCTATGCTCCCGACCTAAGCATGGGAGATCAAGGTAACGAAACCATGACCCAGGGGGTGGGAGGCCCGCGAGGGACACCTATCCTCCCCGTATGATGACATCACGACTTCATCCCGAAGAAACGGACGCCAGGACGAAGGTGATGACGACTACAACGAGCCCATGCCGTGCAGGGAAGTTGGTGAACAACCACCACTCCCATGGCGCCACCATGGGAGGCACAATGCCGCCACGACCGGCACAGTGCCGCCACCATGTACGTCGTGCCTTAGCATGGGGAGCAAGCCCTCGACGACCATACCTAGACATGCTGACAAGACCGGAAGGATTGTTGACCAAGCTTACTAGCTACTCCCTCCCTCGGGCTCCTGACCACTCGGGTCAGGAGAACCCTACACTTCTGCATGTAACCTGGCCCCTCTAGCTATATAAGGTGAGCCAGGCCTTCTTTCTAGACAATCGATTCCTCCTACATCGAGCATTCTATCTGTAGAACCCTAGCTTGCATACCCCCTGTTGTAAGCCGTTTGGAGCACTTGAACATTGAGGAACACTGACAAGATCCTAACATAGGGGTATGTTAAGCCTCGGGATCAAAGGTTCCCGACCGAGGGACCCCCATCGACCCTTCCAGGATAGCTTGGGGGCTTGTGGGCTATACCCATTAGGTACGCTCGCGCGCACCCTCTAGCTAAGAAATTGGGCCGAGCCCGAGCACTGCCTCCTCTGCTTGGGACCCGGGAGCTCACCCAAACCTCAGTCTCCCGATTGATGGATGTCTGGACCAGATCCTTGGCTCCCTCCCAGCCTTCGGTGCTAGCCAAGGCCCGGGCCTAAGATGGGGTGAATAGCCTACAAAAATTTCTACAACAACACTTAAGCCAAGTGGTTAGACAATTATGAAGCGAAGTGAGTGTTGCGCTAGCCTAC